GAGGGAGCGGGAGCTGTCATGTTCATTAAACGCATGATTACAGCTATGATTAATAGCGGGGGCTGTAGCCTAACTCCTTTTCTCTTTTTTTTTTTTTCCTTCCCCCTGCTCCTCTGAAGGAATCCACAGCCGAGCGGTCCCGCGGTGTTTTCCGCCACATTTGCCTCCCGCTCGAAATTCCAGCTTTTGAAAGAAAACAGGCACAATTTATCCCTGTCGAAGGCTCCGCAACCAGAAAAAAAAAATGCTTCAAACAAGCGGGTCGAACGCTGCACCTCTCCACCAACACCCACACATTAATTAGGACCTTTTTCTACCATAACCCCACGAGCCAGCAGTGTGCCCTGGGTGCCAAGAAGGCCAAGGGGATCCTGGGGTGCATTAGGAGGAGCGTGGCCAGCAGGTCGAGGGAGGGTCTCCTTCCCTTCTACTCTGCCCTAGGGGCTTGTTCAGCCTGAAGAGAAGGCTGAGAAGGGACCTAATATACGTTTATGCTTACAAATATCTGCAGGGTGGGTGTCAGGAGGATGGGGCCAAACTCTTTCCAGTGGTGCCCAGCAACAGGACAAGGGGCAACGGGCACAAACTGAAGCAGACGAAGCTCCAGTTGAACATGAGGAAGAACTTCTTCCCTCTGAGGGTGACGGAGCACTGGCACAGGTTGCCCAGAGGGGCTGTGGAGTCTCCTTCTCTGGAGATACTCAAGACCCACTTAGACAAGGTCCTGTGCAGCCTGCTCTGGGTGACCCTGCTTCGGCAGGGGCTTGGACTGGGTGACCCACAGAGGTCCCTTCCAACCCCGACCATTCTGTGATTCTGTGAACATATCTCAGGGCTTGAGGGGTCCCTCACATGCAACCTGGTCCTTCTGCCCCAGGGCAAGGTTGGCAGAGATTTGCCTTCGCAGCCCTGGAACCGCGCTCGGGAGCAACGGTCGGGGCTTTGCAGGATGCCAGCATGAGGAGCAGGATGCTCCGACACCCCTCCTCAGCTCCCCCTCACGATGTCACAAACCCACG